GCGGTAGCTTGTAAGCTCCAGAGGAGCAACTCGGCAGTTCCCTGACTAGGATGCAGGGTGTAGGGTTAAGGGTTAAGGGTTTAGGGTTTAGGGTTTAGGGCTTAGGGTCTAGGATCCCCACCCATCCCCCCCCCCCCCCCTCACCAGGTACCCCGTTGCAATGTTTGTTCGGGTTCGGCTCCTAAACGCCCTCCACCCCTCAGACCCATTTTAAGAACCCCCAAAAAGGGTTTGGGGTTTAGGGTGTAGGAGTGAAACCTCAAAAAAGCGGCTTAGGGTTTCGGGTCTAGGGTTTAGGGTTTGGGGTTTAGGGTTTAGGGTTTGGGGTTTAGGGTTTAGGGTTTAGGGACCCTCTTCGCATCAGGCCCTGAGAAAGCTGAGCCTGATCAACAAGGTGACGATCGAGATCCAGCCCCGGCCTGAGCTGATTTCGCATCCTCCAAAGCACACGACGCAAGGTTGCCAGTCGGTTTAGGGTTTAGGGTTTAGGGTTTAGGGTTTAGGGTTTAGGGTTTAGGGTTTAGGGTTTAGGGTTTAGGGTTTAGGGTTTAGGGGTTTAGGGTTTAGGGCCCAATCCCAGATGGGGGTTTACGAAAAAACAGGGACCCCCGGTTTAGGGTTTAGGGCTTAGGGTTTAGGGTTTCGGGTTCCCCCGAATTCCGAATAGTAGGATTCCCTGATAACAAGGATCCCGATAAGGTATCCCTAATTTCGGAAACCCCCCAGATGATCTTTACAGTGTCCGTGAGCTGCCTGACTAGCTTTTTTTTTGGGTGGGGGGGAGGGCCCGAACCCTAAACCTTAAACCCTAAACCCTAAACCCTAAACACTAAACCCTAAACCCTAAACCCTATTTTTTTTTTTGGGGGGGGGGGGAGGCCCGAAGTGAATAACTGGACGATGTAGCTTCATCTCTGGGAGCCTCGGCTACAATGCGCGTCTTAGCTTCGTAGCAGAGTAGGTAACCTTAAACCTTTTTGGGTTCTTATATTCCCTTTCGAACCCCAAAGGTCAACCTATAGTTCCCTTAGGATGCTGGAGAACTCAGTCAGTCGCTGGAGCAGCAACCCCTCCCAGGGTTTAGGGTTTAGGGTTTAGGGTTTAGGGTTTAGGGTTTAGGGTTTAGGGTTTAGGGTTTAGGGTTTAGGGTTTAGGGTTTAGGGTTTAGGGTTGTCCACGCAATGCTTCGCATCTGGCGCGTCTCCGGGCAAGAGCTGGCCGCAGTGCCCGAGGTCGACATGTTCGAAGACGTGTACGACTTGAAATGCCATTTGCGCAGCCGGCATGGCTTCCCTGTCTGCCTTCAACAACTCTTACATGCAGGCCGCTGCTTAGAGGATGGTGCTTGTCTAGTTGGGCTCGTTGACCTTCAGCTGGTCCTGTTTTCCACCCTCAGCCCGGAGCAGATGCGTCAGGCCGAACGCGAGTTTGCTCAGTATGTTGGCCGCACAGGCCACGTTGAGGTGGGCCGCGCTTTATTGGCGGCGGGTGTCGACGAGAACTTGCAAAGCGTGTCCGGTGCGAGCGCTCTTATGGTCGCATCTTCACAGGGCCACATCGAAATTGTACGCTTGCTGCTGGATGCTGATGCGGACAAGAACTTGCAGGACGGATTCGGCAAGACCGCTCTCATGCACGCATCTTCCGAGGGCCACGTCGAAATCGTACGCTTGCTGCTGGACGCTGGCGCCGACAAGAACTTGCAGAGCGGACGCGGCGACACCGCTCTCACGCTAGCATCTGCCGAGGGCGACGTTGAAATCGTACGCTTGCTGCTGAAGGCGGGTGCCGACAAAGACTTGCAGCACAGACCCTGCGACACCGCTCTGATGCGCGCATCTTCTCAGGGCCATGTCGAGATTATACACTTGCTGCTGGACGCTGGTGCTGACAAGAACTTGCAGGGCGTACGCGGCGACACAGCTCTCACGCTAGCATCTGCCAAGGGCGACCTTGAAATTGTACGCTTGCTGCTGAAGGCGGGTGCCGACAAAGACTTGCAGAACAGGTCCTGTGACACCGCTCTGATGCGCGCATCTTCTCAGGGCCATGTCGAGATTGTACGCTTGCTGCTGGACGCTGGTGCCGACAAGAACTTGCAAAGCATGTCCGGTGCGACCGCTCTCATGCGCGCGTCTTGCATGGGACACGTCGAGATTGTAAGCTTGCTGGAAGCTGCACCCTAGCGCCAGGAGAGCTCTACTGAGAGATTGAAGCCGCATATCTTTTAGGACTTTCCCACGGCAGCGCCAAGACAGAAACCTCCCCCAAAGCCCCTGCTGTGTGCGCCTAAACCCTAAACCCTAAACCCTAAACCCTAGACCCTAAACCCTAAACCCTAAACCCTAAACCCTAAACCCTAAACCCTAAACCCTAAACCCTAAACCCTTAACCCTTAACCCTTAAACCCTAAACCCTAAACCCTAAACCCTAAACCCTAAACCCTAAACCCTAAACCCTAAACCCTTAACCCTTAAACCCTAAACCCTTAAACCCTAAAAACCCTAAACCCTAAACCCTAAACCCTAAACCCTAAACCCCTAAACCCTAAACCCTAAACCCTAAACCCTAAACCCTAAACCCTAAACCCTAAACCCTAAACCCTAAACCCTAAACCCTAAACCCTAAACCTTAATCCACGAACTCCGAAGCCCTGAGCCGAGGATTGGGTTGCAGAGTTGTTTCTGGCGAACCTTTAGCAGCCACAGTGCCCTAACAACTTTAAGAAACCCCGGTTTAGGGTTTAGGGTTTAGGGTTTGGGGTTTAGGGTTTAGGGTTTAGGGTCCCGAAGCCCGAAAACTGCCGACCCAATGTCCCCCAAACCTTAAAATCCTAAGCCCAAAGCCCAGAACCACTAAACCCTAGCTAAATTCCTCAATTGGACCCAAACTTAAACTCCACGACCTTCTTGACCCGTTCATGGGTAGGGTGATCAGTACCCTGAATGCAGCTTTATGACCTATTCTAAAGTTATGCTGCTTCCTTGTCATAAGTACTCATGAGCGAGCCTCCAAGTTAACCCGAAGCCCCAAAAGCTCAAGCACAAAAACCACTAAAGCCTAGAACCCACACCGAAACAAGAGCCCCAAACCCTAAACCCTAAACCCTAAACCCTAAACTCTAGACCTGAACCCTTAACCCCAGGGTCTTGGCTCAACCCTCTGGCGTCCAGTGCGATCCTGTTGTGGCCGTACTTGCTGTATGACGCAGGTTCTAGGGTGCAGCCCTAAACCCTAAAACTCGAGACCCTAAACGCAATGATGAGGGGTTTCAAGGGTTTGGAAGGGAGTAGGGGTTTTCGAGATTTGGTGTGCTCCGGGTTTGGGTTCAAGGTTTCCGTGCTGCAGGCTTTGGGGTGTTGCGGGCAGGTCTGCGGGGGAGCCTGGGCGACCTTCGGGGAAGCGTCCCATCATAAACCCTAAACCCTCAGTCCTAAACCCCAAACCCTAAACCCTACACCCTAAACCCTCAACCCTCAACCCTAACCCCGAAACCCTCAAGGACCTTAAGCCCTTAGACCATAAGCCGGTAAGGACCTGATAATCTGAGGAATCATTGGGGCATCGAGGACAAGACGTCCCTTCGCCTGGACTGGATTTCGGGTTTAGGGTTTAGGGCTTAGGGTTTAGGGTTCAGGGTTAAGGGTTTAGGGTTTGGGGTTATAGTATAAGATAGGCAAAGAGCCCATACAAATCTTTGTATTCTTTTTAACAGGCCGTTCGTTCTCTTTGAATGAGATCTTATAAGCTCTCAAGAAGTCAGAGGATATTTCATGGGAGTCTTTCTGATCTTCCGGAGGTTTTAACAGCAAGAGCTAGAGTTCATTGAATGGTCTTCTCACGGGTTTCATGATGTGAGTGTCCAGCAGTATCTGCTGATTTGCGGTCTTTATTGTAATCACTGCCTTTATCAGGATGTTTCGCTCATTGTATTCGCTTCTCTCTCCAATCGTATTAAAGGCTCGCAAACCTTCCTTAATTTTAGGAACTAGTTGTCGAAGCTTGCGCAACAAATCTGGAAAATCCCCCAAAATGTCTTTCCCAAAGGTCGGTTGTGAAGATGACAGACAACACAGTGAGTCATGGGTGGACATGAAGTAAATATCTTTCTGGTTAATATTAGTCCTAGTTCTGTACTCCTTGTTATTTCTTCTCGCTTCGCTAGTCTCTTTCCTTTTTCCGCGTGTAGGAAATGAGCTCATGAAGCAACGCCGCCTGAAAAGAAGTCCGACCAGAATCCTAGACGCTGAGAGAGACTGGCTAAGTTAATTTTAGTGGGGTTTTCTGGTTGCCTCTACTATATCGACTGACCCCCTAAACCCTAAACCCTAAACCCTAAACCCGAAACCCTAAACCCTAAACCCCAAACCCGCTAGATCTTCCGTAATGTTCCTGTGGCTCTCCAAACAAGCACCAAATTACAGGACACTTAGCGGCCTAAACCGGAAGCCCAAGCCCCTAAACCCTAAGCCCCAAACCCCAAACCCCAAACCCTAAACCCTAAACCCTAAACCCTAAACCCTAAACCCTAAACCCTAAACCCTAAACCCTAAACCCTAAACCCTAAACCCTAAACCCTAAACCCTAAACCCTAAGCTGAGGCTTGCAGAGTTCGTGATCGAGCTCGGCGAGTCGTGCTCTGGCCCGGATGACTTCGAAGCGAAGCTTCAGGCCCCTGTGTGCGGCTCTCTAGGCTGGGTTTAGGGTTTAGGGTTTAGGGTTTAGGGTTTAGGGTTTAGGGTTTAGGGTTTAGGGTTTAGGGTTTAGGGTTTAGGGTTTCAGAGCTTGCATCATTGACTCTGACTAACTTCGAAAGACGTAGGAGCGCAGAATCTTGAGATCAGGCTTCGTCACAACAACAGAATGGCTCAAACCGGCAGCCCTTTATCAGCTTTTTCGTGCTGATCTTCAATTTTTAGGGTTTAGGGTTTGGGGTTTAGGGGTTTAGGGTTTAGGGTTTAGGGTTTAGGGTTTAGGGTCAGTCCACGGCCAAAGCCAGCATGGAAGCTGCAGAGACCTCCACCATCTCGTCGGGGTCCTCTTCTCCGACATCTTCATCTGAGACCGCTGCAGCGACATTCCGCGTAGCGCGACTCATGGCTCTGGCTGCAGAGGCTTGGTAGTAGAGTAGGTAACCTTTGAGCTTTTTTTTTTGGGGTTCTTGTAATTTCCTGTTAGAACCCCAAAGGATGAAACCTATAGTTCCCGTTTAGGATACTGGGAAAGTAAGGAGGAAATCGAGCAGAAGGCTCGCATTGCCTCCTGGTGTGCTACAACTGAGATCGTACTTGAGGTGCTGGCCTGGCTGGTGGTCCCCACGGCAGCTTGGTCCACGACTCCTTGGATGATCGTCTTGGTCTTCGCAACCATGCTCCTGGCCAGCTCCCTCGAAGAAGGGAGCCGGGTGCTTCGGAATCCGCTCCTCGCGCTCATTCCCGGCTTTCAGGGTGCCTTCGCCCCATCAGTGCCGTCAAGCCGAAGATTTGCCCAGCTCTTGGCGCTCGTCCTGCGCCTCGCTCCGGTCCTGCTTTTCCTTTGGATCCAGTCCTGGGAGCCCGTTTACTTCGCAGACGCCCGCGATGGCGGTGACACGTGCGCAGCGCTTCCTGCATGGCTGCAGACCCCCTGTGGGAACCGAAAAGTCTCCGCATCCAGCTACATCGCCTGTCAGAAGAGGCTTCCTTGGTACGCGAACAGCTGGTGCAACGCCCGAGCTGCTTTCGTCATAGGTCAGGGTAAAAAACCTGCTGCCGCTGCTGCGGGCTCAGCTTTGTTGCTGACGCCTCCCTTGGCATTGACCCTGCTCGCTGCTTCTTAGTGGCTGAATGAGTACACTTTACACTTGTCGGGATACTATAATCCCTTACATGTGGGTGTCAAAATGATCCCTAAACCCTAAACCCTAAATATTAGGTGCCGTATTATAGTAGGCATCCAAAACAGGACTATATTCTTGACATCCACCCATATAACTAAAGTGACCCTAGACCCTAAACCATAAACCCTAAACCCTAAACCCTAAACCCTAAACCCTAAACCCTAAGCCCTAAACCCTAAACCCTAAACCCTAAGTTCCCTTTTTGGGGCTGATGGAACTCAGCAACTAAGGCTTGGAGGATTGGCAGCTGCTGCTGCCCAAGGACGCAGCTGGAGCCGCCACAGGATCCCGCTTGGCAGGACTTAGGGTTTAGGGTTTAGGGTTTCGGGTTTAGGGTTTAGGGTTTAGGGTTTGCAGGACTCGGGCGAGCCCACCAAGCTGCAGAAGTTCAAGGCTGGGTTCGTTTTAGTACTATCCTTTAATAGTGTTTTTTTGGTTCTGGGTTCCTATTTCTTGATACTTATATTTCCCCCTAAACCCGAAACCCTAAACCCGAAACCCTAAACCCTAAGCCCTAAATCCGAAGCCTAAACCCTAAACCCTAAACCCTAAACCCTAAACCCTAAACCCTAAACCCTAAACCCTAAACCCTAAACCCTAAACCCTAAACCCTAAACCCTAAATCTACACCAAAGTAGGGCTAAGGTCATGCAGGCCTTCGGTCTCTTTGTGGCCGACATCGCCTCTGACTTCAGCTGCTTCATCCAGTTCCTTAGTAGCAGAGTAGGCAACCTCTAGCCTTTTTGGGTTTAGGGTTTAGGGTTTAGGGTTTAGGGTTTAGGGTTTAGGGTTTAGGGTTTAGGGTTTAGGGTTTAGGGTTTAGGGTTTAGGGTTTAGGGTTTGTAACAGTAGTAGAGTAGGTAACCTTTAGCCTTTTTGGGTCTAGGGTTTGGGGTTTAGGGCTTGGGGTTTAGGGTTTAGGGTTTGGGGTTTAGGGTTTAGGGTTTAGGGACCTTTTGGGTTCTTATATCCCCTTTATAACCTCTAACCCCACAGGTTAACCTTCAGTTCCCTTGGGATACTGGAGAACGAAGGTTCTTGACAGGGCACCACTACTGGTTTGCTGCCATCGCCCTGGCGACATTTTTAGGCTCCATGCTTCAGCAGCATGCGCTGGGCTTGAAACTTTGTGTCATTTTTGGGTAACATTTTATTTTAGGGGGTACCTGAAACCAATAAGGAATAGCAACTTTAAAAATTTTGAATCTTCTCTCAACCATGATCTAGGAAAGGTCTGTACCACGAGTTCTGCGCATCCCTCAAGGAAGGCCAGCTAAGTGACGGCTTTCTGGCTGCTGCGCGAACTGAGAAGTCCCTCGAAGCCCCTGCAGCGCTGCTTCTGCAGACGTACGCATACCCTTTTGTGTCCATGTCGAGCGATTTCGCCGTCTACAGCTTTAGCTTCTCGATCCTCCTGAGTGTGTACTCAGTCGCAGGTGCCGCATATGAGCTCCTTTATGTAGGTAGCCTCAAGGAGCTGGAAAAGCATGAGTACTCAGAGTTGCGAAACTTGGCAGCGACCTGACATTCGGCGATGAGGAAAAGCTGGCAGCCGAAGCACATCAGGATACAAATTCTTCATTCCTTTCTGGGGGTTTCAGCCATTTTTCTTCAGATTGGCCATTACGTCCGGTTCAGACAAGAACAGTATTCTATACCCCCCTTGGGTTTAGGGTTTAGGGTTTAGGGTTTAGGGCTTTGTTTATATAAAAACCAAGAGGATAGTAAACAAAAATATTAAGGCTCAAAGGGGAGTATAGTATTGCCCGAGCTCTTGACAAGCCCAGATGAGAGACTTCTCAGATTCAGTTAAAAACTCAGGCGAATACACAATCTTCACAGAAGCAAGGCTCGAGCAAGCCAGATGTAAAAAGGCCCCTAAACCCTAGACCCTAAACCCGAAACCCTAAACCCTAAACCCTAAAGGCCCCCAAAATTGTTTCATTATGTTGAGACATCTTCATTGTCCTCACCAGTCTCTAGCTTCCCCAGGGTTGGGATTGTGGCCGGTCTCGGGTTTAGGGTTTAGGGTTTAGGGTTCCGGGTTTCGGGTTTAGGGTTGAAGGTTTAGGGTTTAGGTGAAGTGCCTTTGAAAGCAGACGCAACATTGACGGGGGTCGCAATACGGAGGGCTCATGGCCCCTTTCTTGCGTTCTCATCCTCGCGTGGTGCATGGAGCCATGAACCCTTGTCTTTGCACACTTGTCACTAGTCTCAAACAGGGTTTAGGGTTTAGGGTTTAGGGTTTAGGGTGTAGGCCTTGCTCTTCCGGAACTGAATTTCCGTTCCAACGGGCCTCTTGTGCCATGCTGAGATAGCCCACAGGGTGCACCCGGAGCTACAAACCCTAAGAAGCCCTGAATCCTGTTTCGGCATGAGGGTTTCAATTAAACCCTACACCCTGAACCCTAAACCCTAAACCCTAAGCCCTAAGCCCTAAACCTTGAACCCTAAAGAGGTTCCCCGATAAGTCTCGTCCGCCCTTGTGGCCCGCAGTGCCCCAAAGCCTTCGAAACGAGGAGGTTTTTCACAATAAAGGTCCTTCTGGGCATATGCCCGAAGCCCTCAAACCCCTAAACCCTAAACCCCTAAGCTCCTAAAACTCTAAACCCCCAAACCTCTATCAAATCCTCAGTTTAGGGGTTTAGGGCTGTAGGGGTTTTAAGGTTTGGGGTTTAGGGTTTAGGATTTAGGGTTTAGGGCTTAGGGTTTAGGGTTTAGGATATCGGTATGCCCCTTGCAAGTGCGCAGGAGAACGGAGCAGCTGCTTCCGGTCCCTTCTGCCAGCGCTTACTAGAGCCACTTGGCTCCGGGTGAGGGTTTAGGGTTTAGGGTTTAGGGTTCAGGGTTCAGGGTTTAGGGTTTAGGGTTTAGGGTTTAGGGTTTAGGGTTTAGGGTTTAGGGTTTAGGGGTTAGGGTTTAGGGTTTAGGGTTTACGGTTTAGGGTTTAGGGCTTAGGGCTTGGGGGCTCAGGGGAGGTTGCGGGGTTTGGGGTTCAGGGTTTGGGGTTTAGGGTTTGGGGGTGTAGGGTTTGGGGTTTAGGGCGGGGTCATGTCGGGGGTTTGGGGGTTTAGGGGTCGAGGGATCTAGGATCCGAGTGGGGTAGTCTCCCAGCGCATGGAGAAGCTGCCAAGTCTCACGGCTTAAAGCCTTAATGTCAGGAATTTTGATTGGGGTTGCGAACTTGATTCCTAGCAGGGTCGTGCAAGTCGGCATGTTTCGTGGAATTCTGCCCTTCTTGTTGGAGGCCACGGCCCTGGGGATTCAAGGTTTTGGGAGATTCCCAGGGCTTAGGGGTTCTGAATCTTCGGGAGACGTGGGTCGAGGCCTCAGACCTTCAGGGCCAGAAAGAGACACTCCTTAGGCCTTAGGCGAGCAAGGGCATCGCCTTCAATCACGAGGAGGAAGTGACCTTCCTCCACTTCATGGGCCAAAACACCTCGCTTCTCGTCACGTGGGCATTGGTCCGTGAAGAGGGTGGTGCTGCTTTGCATACTCGCTTCGGAGGTGCATCCCATGTTTGCTTACCGGTGCCCCCCACAGCTCTCTGAGGATGGCCTGCTGCAGCTTCAAATAATAAACCTCAGGCCCCAAATCGCAAACCAGAGACCCTAAACCCTAAGCCCTGAAAGGTTGTGCCCCCCCCCAGCCAGCCAAGGGGTCTAGGACTCGTTTTTTCTTAAGAAGGTGTCCCCGAACTCACAAAACCCCTGAAACCCCTCCAAACTCAAGAAACCCTAGAAAGTGAGTGAAAGCATGAACGGTAAAAAGGGAAGAAAATAGAAGAAAATAATATGCGGGCGAAATGAAGAGATAAAAGCCCGCAGAAAAAGACCTAATTTTCTAATTGAATTTCATGTTTCGTTCTTAATATTAATACGGGCTTCACGCTTCATTGCATTACATTGTAAGCCCTTTTAATATTAATCACTTCACCTTTACCTTTCCATCCCGGGCTAATATAATAATTCACGCGTGCCCTTGTAATTATTATATGCCCTAAACCCCACCCCTTCAGATATCAGCTCTAAACGATGTTTAGGGCTTACGGTGTGGGATGTGCCCCCTTACACTCACAGTCCTCAATAGGGATTATCGTACCCCCTAGTATCATCCGTACTTAGGACTGTTAGTATAAGGGGAACATCCCACCCTAACCCTAAACCCTAAACCCCAAACCCCAAACCCCAAACCCCAAACCCCAAACCCTAAAGCCCTAAAATCCCCAAACCCCAAAAGATTTAAGCTTTGAAGCCCTGTTTGGGGTTTAGGGTTGAGGGTTTAGGTTTCCGAAATTCATGAACCCTCAGCCATCTTCGGACAAGGCTCATCCAAAAACTCCTAAACCCTAAGCCCCAAACCCTAAACCCTAAACCCTGTTAGTTTAGGGGGGAACATTCCAAGGTTGGGGTTCTGAAACTCATGAACCCTCAACCCTCTTCGGACACTAAACCCTAAACCCTAAACCCTAAACCCTAAACCCTAAACCCTAAACCCTAAACCCTAAACCCTAAACCCTAAACCCTAAACCCTAAACCCTAAACCCTAAACCCTAAACCCTAAACCCTAAACCTAACCCTAAACCCTAAACCCTAAACCCTAAACCCTAAACCCTAAACCCTAAACCCTAAACCCTAAACCCTAAACCCTAAACCCTAAACCCTAAACCCTAAACCCTAAACCCTAAACCCTAAACCCTAAACCCTAAACCGTAAACCCTAAACCCTAAACCCTAAACCCTAAACCCTAAACCCTCAAAACTGTTTGGACAAGGCTCATCCAAAAACTGGGTGGCCCCGCGAAGCCCGGGCAGGCAGATCAGAAAGGTGGGACCCTTGAGGAAAGGGGGTTTAGGGTTTAGGGTTTAGGGCTTAGGGTTTAGGGTTTAGGGTTTAGGGTTTAGGGTGCTTAGGATAGGGCGTGGGGCTCCCTCAGCCCAAGATTTGGCAGGTTTGTCCGGCTTGCGGGTCGAAGGTTACACCGTAAACCCTAAACCCTAGACCCCTAAACCTTAAACCCTAAACGCTAGCTAAACCTGCAACCCTAAACCCTAGACCCCAAACCCTGAACCCTAAACCCTAAACCCTAAACCCTAAACCCTCAACCCTCAACCCTAAACCCCAAACCCTAAACCCTAATCCCTAAACCCTAAACCCCAACAGGGTTTCGGGCTTGCTTAGGACTTTGGGGCTTCGTGGGTTCGGTTTTCGCCTTGGGTTTGGAGGTCCGAGGGTTGGGAAGCCAAAGGGATGAGGGATTCAGGGTTTAAGTTTTAGGGTTCAGGGCTTAGGGTTTAGGGTTTAGGGATTTAGGGTTTAAGGATTTAGGGTTAAGGGTTTAGGTCGTGGAAATCCTTAAGCCTCGTTTAGGGTTTAGGGTTTAGGGGCCCAATCTTCGTCCAGGTGCTCTCGCGAGCTCTGGAACCCCCCAAGCCCTGATCCCTGGACCTTTTGTAACCTTAGAGACCTCAACCCTACACCCTAAACTGTACAACCCGAGTCAACCCCCCTGGCGGAGGCAAGCCAACCAACGCCAAGGCTTCAAACGAAGCCCTGGCATTGGCCAGCAAGGTCCCTTGGCTGGGGGGCATGTGCGGTGTCATGGCGGTTTGTTAGGTTTAGGGTTTAGGGTTTAGGGTTTAGGGTTTAGGGTTTAGGGTTTAGGGTTTAGGGTTTAGGGTTTAGGGTTTAGGGTTTAGGGTTTAGGGTTTAGGGTTTCGGGTTTCGGGTTTAGGGTTTAGGGCTTCGCCCCAAACTCATGCACCCACCCAAAGGCCCGAGGGTCTAGATGTAAAGCCTAAGCCCTAAACCCTAAACCCTAAACCCGAACTGGGGCCCCGGCTGGAAAGCAGCGCAATCAACCCCTTTTTGGATGGCCTTGGGAGGGAAATATTCTCCAGGTATCCGATGCAAACCCTCAACCGCAAGCCAAAGAACCCTTGCCGCAAACCCTGAACCCGAAACCCCAAACCCTAAACCCTAATTAAGCCCTCAACCTAAAGCCCTTAAATCCCAAAACCCTGCACTTCACCCGCCCGAGCCGTGCAGGAGATCGCCAAAGCGCCCCAGGTCGAGAGGCCTGGCGGAAACCTCTCACCAGTAGGGTTAGGGTTTGGGGTTTAGGGTTAAGAGGGTTTAGGGTTAAGAGGGTTTAGGGTTAAGAGGGTTTAGGGTTCAGGGTTGAGGGTTGAGGGTTTAGGGTTAAGAGGGCTGTTTTTTTTGGGGGGGGGGGGGGGGATTCAGGTTCAAGGTTTTGGGGTTTAGGGTTTAAGAGGTTGGATTTGGGGGTTTTAAGTTTTAAGGTTTGGGATGTTTGAATTTGGGCTTAAGGTCTCATTAGAAAAGTAAGGTTTAGGGCTGTTACGGTTTAAGAGGTTTTAATTTTGGGTGCGTTTAGCGGGTTTAGCTGTATGTCTGCTCAGGGCCTTAGGGTCTTGGGGCTCGGGGGTGTGGGTTAAAGAGGTCATACCCCTAAACCCTAAACCTGAAACCCTAAACCCTCAACCCTAAACCCGAAACCCTAAACCCTAAAACCCTAAAAGTCTAAAACCGAAACCCTAAACCCTAAACCCTAAACCCTAAACCCTAAACCCTAAACCCTAAACCCTAAACCCTAAACCCTAAACCCTAAACCCTACACCCTCAATCCTCAACCCGAAACCCCAAACCCTGAAATTCGGCTGCTCATCGAAGGCGGCGGAGCCGAAGTCGGCAGAGGGAGCCGAAGGCGGGTCTCTTGAGTTCAAGGGGCCCGGTTTCCCCTTTTAGGGTTTAGGGTTTAGGGTTTAGGGTTTGGGGTTTGGGGTTTGGGGTTTAGGGTTTAGGGTTTAGGGTCTCTGAGTTCAAGGGTGAACCTGAACCCCTAATGGGGCTCACGATATTAGGGGTACCTCATTATTAGGTCCTTATCCTAAGGGATCCTACTATTTGGGGGGGGGGGGGGGGTGTGTCTAGACCAGGGGGTCCCCTAGTTTCGTAAACCACCAAATCCGAAGCTTCCATTCCCGGGGGGGCGCACGACTTCCGAAGATGCCCCACCATTGGCAACCTGACCTGAGCTCAAACCTTGAACAGGGTTTAGGGTTTAGGGTTTAGGGTTTAGGGTTTAGGGTTTAGGGTAGGGTTTAGGGTTTAGGGGTTTCTGTTTGGGTCTGGCGTTAGAGTTCTGGGCTTGAGGCTCGTAGCATTCAAGCTTGCCCACTCAGTCCCGCCCTTTCTTTTTAGAAACGAGGTTGAGGGTTAAGGGTTCAAGGGTTTAAGGGTTTCAGGGTTTAAGGGTTTAAGGGCTTAGGGGGTTTAAGGGTTCAAGGGTTAAGGGTTTCAGGGTTTAAGGGTTCAAGGGCTTAGGGTTTAAGGGTTCAAGGGTTTAAGGGTTTCAGGGTTTAAGGGTTTAAGGGCTTAGGGTTTAAGGGTGAACAGCCAGGAAAAGGAGGTCAAGAAGAAGGCCCTTGGAGGACTTGTGCCCGCCTGACGCTGCTGGGGTGGGAGGGGGGGGGGGGGAGGGTGTTCCAAGTTCCTTTTGCCTGGAGCACATCGATGGTAGGTGGAGAGCTCTACACCTTAAACCCTGAACACAAAACTCCACACCTAAACCCTAAACCCCAAACCGTAAAACCCTAAACCCTAAACCCTAAACCCTAAAACCCTAAAACCCTAAAACCCTAAAACCTTGAAACCTTGAAACCCTGAAACCCTGAAGCCCTGAAACCCTGAAACCCTAAAACCCTAAAACCCTAAAACCCAAAAACCCTAAAACCGTAAAACCCTAAAACCCTAAACCCTAAAACCTAAACCCTGAGGGGGAAGAAGGCTTTGGCATGTCTGGGCGCTTCCCTGGTCTCCGGAGGTTTAGGGGTTTAGGGGTTGAGGGGTTTAGGGGTTTAGGGGTTTAGGGGTTTAAGGGTTTAGGGGTTTAGGGGTTTAAGGGTTTAGGGGTCTAGGGGTTTAGGGGTTTAGGGGTTAGGGGTTAAGGGTTTAGGGGTTTAGGGGTTTAGGGGTTTAGGGGTTTAGGGGTTTAGGGTTTTAGGGGTGTAGGGGTTTAGGGGTTTAGGGGTTTTGGGTTTTGGGTTTTGGGTTCATTGGAATTCCTGCCAGCGGAAGGTTGGTTCATCAAGAAGGTGGGTATATAAAAAGTACCCCCATCGGTACTTATAAGTACGGTTTAGGGTTTAGGGTTTTGACTTTAGGGTTTAGGGGCACATATAAGTAGGGCAATAAATACCCTAAGTACAGTTATAGCCGTAGTTACCCCACACAACCCTACTTTTTGAAGTAGCCATGAACCTCTAGTACCCTTGACAAAACCTTGGGGGTTTCCAAGAATGAGAGTTGTTTAAGGTCCAAGGTTTAGAGTTTAGGGTTTAGGGTTTAGGGTTTAGGGTTTAGGGTTTAGACCCTAAGGCCTAAACCCTAAACCCTACAAATCCCAGGTAGAGCTCTACGGCATCTACAAGGGACAGGCGCGGGCGCGGCGGTCTCCGCTTTGGGCGGGGAGTTCTAAGGGCCTTTTTGGGGGTGTAAGGTTTGTGTCCCTAAACCCTAAACCCTAAACCTTAATACGCTCTCAACCCTAGACCCTAAACCCTACACACCCTTGAAATCCCCCAAACCTAATCCTTTAAACTCAGGAAGCCAGAGACGGCCTGTTTCTCAAGTTTCTCTCAGCCGCCTTTAGCGGATGACCCCTACATGCCTGATCTCCCCAAACCCGAAATTTCAGAACCTCTAAACGAACCCCCAAATCCCAAACCCCTCTAAGCGAATCCCCAAATCCCAAACCCCAAACCTTTAGTCTAGGGTTTAGTGTTGGGGTGTATTAGGTGTGTAGGGTTTGGGTTTTGGGGTTCAGGGTTTAGGCTTGAGGGTTCAGGCCAACTTCGGTGTGCGAGTTAGGGTCACCCCCTTCCCATGTCTCGTACTTTCTAGAGGAGCTGCCCTTTACGCCAGGACCCCACAGCCCTTCCTTGATGCCTGTCTTCGTTCTTGCCGATGTTGTCAATAACTCTAACCCCCAATCCCTACAGCCTACAATTCCCCCAAACCCTATAGACCCTCAGTATGCTTTCCAGGTTGACTGTACCTGGCCTAGGCCTAAACCCTAAACCCTAAACCCTAAACCCTAAACCCTAAACCCTAAACCCTAAACCCTAAACCCTAAACCCTAAACCCTAAACCCTAAACCCTAAACCCTAAACCCTAAACCCTAAACCCTAAACCCTAAACCCTAAACCCTAAACTAAACCCTAAACCCTAAACCCTAAACCCTAAACCCTAAACCCTAAACCCTAAACCCTAAACCCTAAACCCTAAACCCTAAACCCTAAACCCTAAACCCTAAACCCTAAACCCTAAACCCTAAACCCTAAACCCTAAACCCTAAACCCTAAACCCTAAACCCTAAACCCTAAACCCTAAACCCTAAACCCTAAAACCCTAAACCCTAAAACCCTAAACCTTAACCCTAAACCCTCAGCCGTAAACCCCGAACCCTGAGTCCCAAATCCTATATAGGGCCCTCGACCAGGTGTCCCGATTGATGGAATACGGAGCTTTCATCTCCTTCGAGACAGCAGAAGGCCACTGGGAATGAGTAAGAGGGTTTAGGGGGTTTAGGGGGTCTGGGGTTCTAGGGTTTAGGGTTTAGGGTTGAGGGTTTAGCTCAGGAGTCTTAAGTGTTTTGGGGGTATTGGCGTTGCAGGGGTGTTGTGGGTTCGGTCACAGTGGCCAGAGGATCCTCATCGAGAGGAGATTGGCCAGGATTCACGGTTTAGGGTCTAAACCCTAAACCCTAAACCCTAAACCCTAAACCCTAAACCCTAAACCCTAAACCCTAAACCCTAAACCCTAAACCCTAAACCCTAAACCCTAAACCCTAAACCCTAAACCCTAAACCCTAAACCCTAAACCCTAAACCCTAAACCCTAAACCCTAAATCCTAAACCCTAAACCCTAAACCCTAAACCCTAAACCCTAAACCCTAAACCCTAAACCCTAAACCCTAAACCCCAAACCCTAAACCCTAAAACCTAATCAGGGTTTAGGGGTCGGGGTTTAGGGTTCAGGGTTTTGGGCCCGGGCTTTCAGGGTTTGCGAGCCTTCGCCTGTGAATCCTAGGAATCCTACGGCCGGAATCCTGCGTCCGGAGCCCCCTAGTGCTAAGCCCCTACAGGTTAGAGGGTTCAGGGTTTATGGTTTAGGGTTTGGGATTTCGGGTTTAGGGTTTAGGGCTTAGGGTTTAGGGCTTTGCCCCAGAAGAGCCTAACCTGAAGCCCAAAACCCGAAGCCCAGGCAGACGAGAAGGTTTGGCCCACTTGAGCGAGCTCTCTCGGGACCCCGCCAGAAAGTGTCTTCAGGGTCCGCCTTCGATCGTGCCTAGGGTTTAGGGTTTAGGGTTTGGGATTTAGGGTTTAATGTTTAGGGTTCCAGGATCCCTACCATCACCGAAACCCTCAGCCCTGAAACGGAACACCCTGCACCTAAAGGTGCAAGGGAGGAGCCCCCCTTTTGACTGTCTCCTCAAGGCCTATATACACCCCTTAGGGTTCAGGGGTGAGTGTTTAGGGTTTAGGGTT